GAAATATTAAAGAAATAATTTCTATTCCCAACAGCTCTACTTTAGCTCACTTTAGCTTTAGCTTCCACATTTATGGAATATAACTTCGATCCAAACATTCCTTTGCAAACCAAAGATGAAATTAATTATGCTCTTGAATCTCTGTCTACTTCTAAAGTTGAAGCAAGAGCTGCCTCAGTATCAAAATGCGAGGTTAAATTCGATTCATAGATGACGATCTTCAGCTCTTGATCCATCTTAAAAATGTCCGTAGGAGACAATATCAAAGAACACGCGATCCTGCCATGAAAGTTATCTGGCGGGATTCGCAAAAACAAATTTAAAAGCGATTCTCTGCCCTGAGGAACAAAACTTTTGAAAATAATGTTTCTAAATTTGACCCGAGTTCCAAACTCTTTTGGAAACTCACAAAAATTTTGAAAAAACCTCAAAAGCCTATTCCAGCGCTTAAAGAAGGTGGTAAAATTTTGATCACAAATTTGGAAAAAGCTCAGAAACTTGCTAAGCAATTCGAGAGTTCCAATAATTTCAGTTTGGGTCTTACTAGTCTTATTGAGAATCAGGTTGCTCGGGATTATCTGATTTTTTTCTCTCGGGAAAATATTTTTGATGATTCCTGGGGGACTGATTTGGACGAAGTAAGGTCTATAACTAAAAAGATTCATAATATGAATGCTCCAGTGATGATGGAATTTTTTATATCCTCATTAAAAACTCCCAGAGAGTACCTTGTCTTGGTAAAATTATTTAACAGATGTTTCCATTTGGCATACTTTCCTGATAAATGGAAAAATGCAAAAGTTGTTCCAATTTTGAAGCCGTATAAAAATCTAGCTGAAGCTTCTAGCTACCGTCCAATAAGTTTGTTTTCTTTTTGAAAAGATAATTTCAAGTAGAATGATGATTCACATCAATACGAACTCAATTTTTGCAGATGAGCAGGTTGGATTTCGCCATGGGCATTCAACTACTCATCAACTTCTAAGAGTTACCAATTTAATTCGTGCAAACAAATCTGAAGGCTGCTCAACTGGAGTTGCTCTTCTAGACATAGAAAAAGCATTCGACAGTGTTTGGCATGAAGGTTTGATTGCTAAATTGAAAAAGTTTAATTTTTCCACTTTACATTATGAAATTAGTTCAAAATTATTTAACTGAGAGGAAAGGTAAATTATCAAAATTCCAAATGTGATCGACTACTTGTTAGAGCAGGAGTTCTTCAGGGTAGCATTCTTGGGCCTATATTGTGTAACATTTTCACTTCGAACCTCCCTGATTTGCCTCAGGGTTGTCACAAATCTTTGTTCGCACGCATTTCCGCTAAAGGAATAAGTCTTCATGTTATTTGCAGCAGACTGCAGGAAAGTTTAGATATTTTCTCTTCTTATTTACAAAAATAGAAGATTTCTCCCAACGCTTCCAAAACTCAACTTTCCACATAAGCCTAGAACATCTTTTTTGAAACCTAGTAGTAGTCACATAGTCACTATGAACGGAGTTCCAATTTCCTGGTCAAACCAAGTGAAGTATCTTGAACAAAAATGAAATTTTAAAGATCTCTGGCTGCAATCGACTGGGAAGCTTTACTGCTATCTGAGCCTTTGGATGAATTATTATCAGCATTCTATGAAAAACTTTACGCAGTGCTCAACGACTATGTACCTCGGAAAAGGCGAAGGTTCAGTCCAGTTTCCAGTAAACCATGGTGGACCCCTGAACTACGACATCTTCGCAACATCCTCAGAAAAGCACGTCACCGTTTCTTTCTTTCGAAATCTGAGAACGACCGCGAGTACCTTCGTGAAGTGGAGCTGCAGTACAAAACAGTTCTTCTATCCACCTATGAACGCTACCTATCCAGGATCCAGGACAGTGTAAAACAAAACCCGTCGTGTTTCTGGGACTTCGTGAGGAATCGGAAAGCATCTACTCGCATCCCATGTAACGTTAGCTACAATGATCTCCAGGCTAATACAAATGTGGATGCTGCTAACCTTTTTGCCATATTCTTCGAGAGCGTGTTTAGCAAAGTGTCACCTGTACCAAGGCGCGACTGCTTTGCACATATTCCGTCGCACATCATCAACCTTCCTGTCATTCAGTTCTCCACCGAAGAAGTTCTACGAGCCATCGATGACCTTGACATCAAAAAAGGACCCGGAACAGACGGTTTACCACCTCTGCTGCTGAAAAACTGTTCCGAAGAACTGGCGAATCCAATTGCTCACTTATTCAATCAATCGCTTCGTGAAAGGACCTTTCCAGCGGCTTGGAAATCTGCTTACGTTGTTCCTATACACAAGTCAGGCAACTGTAACCAGGTGACAAACTATCGCGGAGTATCTATTCTTTGTTGTCTCAGTAAAATATTTGAAAAACTGGTGCACAATGTTTTATACAACGTAGCGTCTCCGATTATCTTCGAAGGTCAGCATGGCTTCATGAAGCATCGCTCTACAACAACGAACCTCATGTGTTACGTCACCACAGTGTCCCGCGAAGTAGAAGAGAGGCGGCAAGTTGACGCGGTGTATGTTGACTTCGCGAAAGCCTTTGATACCGTACCGCACATTCAGCTCATTGAGAAACTGAGGCACATAGGTTTTCCAGATTGGATTACGGAGTGGATTTCTTCGTACTTATGTGATCGTACCGCATATGTTGTGATCAACTCGGCTCGTTCCCGCTCTTTCAACATCACGTCTGGTGTACCCCAAGGAAGCGTTTTGGGACCACTATTATTCAACATTTTCATCAATGATCTGTGTTTGCGGCTTTCCTCGTTCAAGCTCTCATTCGCTGATGACCTTAAATTCTATCGTGTCATAGCTTCTCTCTTGGACTGCTTTGCTCTGCAAGAGGATATCAACACTATGATGACTATGGTGTAGCGATAACGGCATGCGAGTTAACAACAAGAAATGCAAAATTATTTCCTTCAGTCGCTGCAATAGCCCCATTCTGCATCAATACAGGATGGAAACGGCGGAATTAGAACGAGTTTCGTCCATCTGCGACCTCGGTGTTACCATCGATACGAAACTAAGGTTCAACGAACACGTGGGAATTATGACTGCCAAAGCTTTTTCTGTGCTGGGATTCATCCGTCGCCATGCGTCCGAGTTCACCGACATTTACGCGTTAAAAACTCTCTACTGTTCGTTGGTTCGTAGCATTCTGGAGTACGCTGCTCCAGTTTGGGCCCCTTACTATGTAGTTCATGTTCTTACCATTGAACGGGTACAGAAAAGGTTCGTACGTTTTGCATTGAGACAGCTTCCCTGGAACGATCCGTCTAATCTTCCTCCCTATTCTGACCGATGTAAGCTCATAGGATTGGAGCCACTATCTACCAGACGAGTTACGATGCAGCGATTATTTATTTTTGATGTCATCGGAGGATTTATTGATTGTCCTGAACTTCTCGCACAGATCCCACTAAACATTCCTCCCCGACGGTTTCGGAACTCACCTTTATTAGCAGTTCCATACCACAGAACAAACTACGGATACAACAACCCGTTCGATTCGTGCCTTCGCTCGTTCAATGTTGTTTGTGACGAATTTGATTTTAATTTGACCAAAAATGTTTTTAGAAATAGGATTAGAAGCAATCTTTAGTTTATAAGAAAATAGTTCAGTCTGTACGACTAGTCGAAGACGGTGATATATAAAATAAATACAACAGCTGTTCACAGTTCAAATGGAGAGGCTGCCGAAGAAAAAGAGGTTGCCAACAATAGTCAAACTCACCTGAGAAGTTTGGAGCGTTGTAAAAACTTTTTCAAACAGTTTTGGACAATTCTGTCGATTATAATGGATAGAGAAGTAAGCAGCAGATAAATGAAGAGCTTTGAGTGTGTTGGTTTATTTCCTTTAAATTCCGTTATAATTGCTTATCTTTTGACAGATACGCGTATTTCGTCTACTACTTGCCAAGTACTCAACACTAGTTGGCACTGATGAAGTCTGCAAGTAGTAGACGAAATACGCGTATCTGTCAAAAGATAAGAAATTAAAAGGAAATAAACCAAGTTAATAATTTGAGATTTATTTGCTGAACATGTCATGTGATTTCGGCAAAAAATTCAATGAAATTTTGAAATTGAAATCTTGGTTTGAAAGGCGTCTCAGAACTGTTCGACTGTGTAATTATTTCACATGTAGGCATGAAAAAAAAGTTTAAGTGCTGTTATTTGTTTTGTTATATTATCTCAATAATTAGTCAAACGCTGAACGACTATCGAATTACTTGAGTTATGTTATCCAGTATGTGTTATTTTTTCCTCCTAAAATATGTAAGGCGCATACCATCATTTTTTCAAGCTGCTCGAATGAAGATCGCCTAGGTTGATACCGGTCACATGATCCGTGCATTGCATACGTATCAGGCGCTTTGGAAAGACAATACGCACTTAAATGATTCTACCGGTTGCAATCAGTGCTGAGATTTATCATTGTCATTGACCGACTTTCGCGCGATATTGACCAAATCGGTATTCACATATTAGTCACTGATAGACTTGATTCTCAAAAAAACCTTTGTCAAAATCTCTTTCATTTTTTCGTCAATGTCAAAGATTCACCTGGTACCAAAAAGTGTAATTTCGTGCATTTTGAGTCACATTATTGTTATCCAAGCTGTTCAGGACGTAGTAGATGCTTGATCACTTTAACGGCTACATGCAATTCTTTTGCTCAAGTAATTTAATTTCGTTTCAATTTCAGCTAATAAAAAAATCTGCAAATGTTCGTCACTGACAGCATTGGCACTGATAAGTGACATGGTTTGCCTTGACCATGACTGTTAGCCGTTAGCCGTTTATTGTCGAAATTTTGCAGCACTGAGTTGCAATACCATGCCTCTCAAAATTATCCACCACGTGGAGTGAGATGTGTTTGGACTAGCTTATTTTTGTTATCATGACTTTTTTTATTCCAATCACAATCTTACATGCAATAATGGACGACTCATTTGCAATTTTCTTTTATTTTTCCAGTCCAATCGTGATAATCGACACCGCCGAAGAAACGCTATTTAACGATAGCAACAACAACCAGCATCGTCAACAGAAGCCCAAGTTCAATGGCCATCACGAGTACATTCCGGTGGTGGACGAGGAGGACGATCCTTTCCCTTCGGTAGTGTTCATCGATCATCAACCGGAAGAGATCGTTCCACCGACCAAAATCGCAATCAAACATCCATCCGAGGAGCCACCTCCAATCCCGGCAGCTCATGTCGCCAACGGTGAAGAACCCGAAACAAATAGTGTAAACAGTGACGTAATTATCGAAGCCGTTGAGAGTGGAACAGCTGTTGATATGGATGCGGTGGAGCACGAAGCTGATAAGAACCAAGTACAGGTAGCTGGTGACGGTTTAGAAGAGGAAAAAACAACAACTACTACGACGACGAATGACAACGAACCGATTGTTTTGGAGAAAAATTCCACGGACGGTGTTGTTGATCAGTTGGCGAGTGACACCGTGGATGATAGTGAGACAATGATGCAGCCGGAAGCTACCGAAGTGGGAGTAGGGAATATGGAAATTGATACCGATGTAAAGGAATTGCAGGAGCCGGATATGGTTCTCATGGCGGAGGACGATGCCCATGTTACCGATGATGACGTGGATCTTCTGGCGGTGGTCGGAGACAGCGTGGACAGTGACTTCGAAGAACTGATCAAAGCGCAAATTGAACAGCTTGACGAGGACAATTCAGAGCAAATTCAACAGATTCATGAGAGAATCATTGTTGGAATTGAACGCTCAAGCACCAGCAGCGAGGATGAAGAACGCGGGGGTGAACAGAGTGAAATGTTGGTGATGGTGCAAGAAGTTGTGAGTGAAGTGAAGAAGGACGTTGGTGAAATAAGTGGTGAAATAGAAGAAAATGTTCCAGCAATGGACATTCCGGATGGAAGCATGGAAGCTTCGACGACGCCCAGCACTGACGAGCAGCACGTCGGAAATAATCAAGGTGAGTGCTTAGTTAATAAACTTATCAAATGTTTTCGCGGGTTTCTTATCAGCGCGCTCACGTAGCCTTTGCGTGAACTATTTAGCTTCTCATAGAACTTCCGTGTGTCGTTTACGCGGTACAGATTTTCCATCGTCTCGCGATCTCGGTTTTCCTGCTGACGCTTCTTCCTTCGGAAAACCGAGTTTTGTCTGTTCCGCGCTTGTCTGTATCGCTCCACATTCAATCTCGTGCGGTGTTGCAGCATTCTTCTCCTCTACTAACAGTTTGCATTCGCCATCAAACCAGTCATTTCTTCGGTCCGGGATTGCAGTACCTAGAGCCGCTGCAGCAGTACTACCTATGGCGGAACGGATTTCCCTCCAGCCATCTTCAAGAGAAGCTGCACCAAGCTGCTCTTCCGTGGGTAGTGCAACTTCCAGCTGCTGCGCGTAGTCCTGGGCAACTCCGGCGTCCCTTAGTTGCTCAATGTTGGGTCGCGGCGTTCGAATTCGACGTGTGTTTACACCGTTGAGAGTTTGAATTAACTGAATTTGCCATTATTTTCAAGTAGGATGAAAAATGCTCATGATGGGTTGAGTGAGTTTATTGAATTTAAATAAGTGGGTTTGGGTCGTAATCAACGAAAGATAGGAACCATATCTTTACGATGTCATTCTAGGTCACTTTTTTTCATTAATGTATGGTCAATGTTTTGGTCACTACTTTCGTTATTTTAGTCACAAAAGTCAGTACTATTATATCACATATCTACTATCAGCCCTGTTTCCGGAAATCCGGAGTAATAACCAGGGGATGTTGGAAGAATCTCTCTGGAATAGTTGAAAGCAATTTCCGCAAAATTAACTTCTTGGAAAGTCGAAAACTAACTTACAGAAGATGCCGAAAGTATCTTATGGTGTAGGTTATATGAATTTTGCCGTAAATACACAGGGAATTTGTAAGACACGTCCAGAAGAAGCCAGTAGGAGTTTTGGGAAAAGATCGTAAAAACTTCCTAGGGAAATCAGCGCAGAACCTTCCTGGATGAGTCAGGATAATTTTCCACAGAAAATCAGATTTTTGTTTATTTTTAAGTGTTCATAACTTTAGACACTTCTAAACTTTGAATTTTTGATGAGCTCATTTGAAATATTTAGGTTTGAATACTTTTTTTTAATCTTTACATGAAATAAAAAAAAAAAAATTCCAAGAAAAACAATACTTTTCTCTTCAACTTTGTCTCAGCCGTCATTTCGATTAGAAGTGCCGTTTTCGTGCTACAATTTTTTGAAAATTTCAAATACGTTTTTTTCAAAATTCCACAAGATTCAAAATGGCTGAATTTTGGAGCAAAAATGACAAACAATTATACAAAGTTTCGTGCAAATCGAAGAAGGTTGACTTTTCCTATTCGTTATTTCACTTGAGACTGCTCCACTTCTGCGAAGTTTACCAACATTTTACATAGCTCTCTAAATTTCTGCGAAATTGTCTGGTGCTCTATGAAATTCCTCGAATTTATATTCAATTTTCTGAATTCATACGATGTCCCTGAAGTTTTGCAAACCTTTATGATGTCAATGAAAAATCCCAGAACTTAAAAAAAAATCTCCGAATTTGTACAGAATTCGCTAAATGCCTCGGAGCTTATACAAAATTTACTAAAATTCTACAAACATTACTGCACTGTACGATGTTCACTGAAGTTCACCGAGCTTTTACAATGTTCGTTGAACTTTTACAAAGTTATCTGAACTCCTATTTGCTGCACTTCTAGAAAATTTCGAGAACTTATAAAGCAATTTTCTTAACTACTTCGATTATTTTGTAAGTTCAATGAAGTTTCCTGAAGATCTATTAAGGTTCAATTTACTTTGATGTTTTTTGGAAAATTTCAAAAGCAGTTTTTTCCAACGCATTATTTCAGATTACAAAAAGCTCGCACTATTCGATTCCTTTTGATATTTTACACAAAATGACGCGAGCTTTTTGCAATCTAAAATAATGCATCGAAAAAAACTGCTTTTGAATTTTTAAAAAATGCATCAAACTAAATTGAACGCAGTTCTTTGAACTTCTACCAAGCTCTCTAACAGTTCTAAAGGGTGTCCACGATGAAATTGCCACACTATGAAATTGCTCTAACTTTTTAACCGTTGGGTAGAATTTAATGAAAATTTGGGTGGATTTAGTTCATAGTGCATTATTTACATCCTGCAAGTTTTAAAGTCCTGTGATCAAAACTCGCGGAAATGGAGTCGAAAGAACAGCTCGTGCGTGATAAAATCTTGCGCATTCATCACGAGAACAAGGATCTCTCGCATCGTTCCATCGCTAAAACGTTGGGAATCGCGAATTCCACGGTGTCGCGAGTGATTAAACAGTTCGAGGAACGGTTGACCACCGATCGGAAGCCCAGAAGTGAAGGAAAAAGTATTCCGTACAACACCAAAAATCACAACCGCGTAGTTGGGGCCTTCAACCGAAATCCGAACGCCTCCGTTGCTGAAGAAGCTGCACCTAAGCCGAAGTTTTGTCCAGAAGGCCAAAACTAAGGCTGGGCTTCGAACGTTCAAGGTACAAAAGGCCCCTATTCGCAACGAGAAGCAGAACAAGTCCGCCAAAACCCGTGCCAGGAAGTTGTACCTCAACATGCTGACGAAAGTTGAATGCTGCATCATGGACGACGAAACATATGTGAAGGCCGACTTCAAACAGATCCCCGGCAACCTGTTTTTCACAGCCAAGGATAAGTTCAGCGTTCCGGAGCATGTCCGCACTCAGAAGATGTCCAAATTTGCGAAGAAATTCCTGGTTTGGCAAGCCATCTGCACGTGCGGGAAGCGGAGTGCACCTTTCGTGACCCAGGACACGATGAACGGACATGTGTACATAAAAGAGTGCCTCCAGAAGCGGCTGCTTCCTCTCCTGAAGGCCCACAACGTCCCAACAATCTTCTGGCCGGATTTGGCCTCATGCCACTACTCCAAGGACGTGCTGAAGTGGTATGCGGACAATAAGGTCAATTTCGTGCCGAAAATGTTCAACCCTCCCAACACTCCGGAGCTCCGCCCCATCGAGAAGTACTGGGCGATTATGAAGCAGCACCTTCTTAAACGACCTAAGGTAGTGAAGACAGTCGAGGAACTGAAGAAAGTATGGGTTTACATGCAAAAAACGGTTGATTCACAGGTTGTGCAGAATCTTATGGCCGGGGTTAAGGCCAAGGTGCGGGCATTTGCGTATGGACTGTAAATAAAATACGAGTAAAATGGTAAAATGAAGTTTAATAGTTATTTCTCAATCCCTGAAAATTTGATGGTAATCGGATGAAAACTCGAATTTTGCGAATCAATTTTGTGTGTGGCAATTTCATCGTGGACACCCTTTAACGCAGTGCTACGCTTAATGACAAATCGATGTCATTTTACCCTCTCTGAATTCCATGACACTTTACATACTTGTTCACTGAGGGCAATATAATAACGTCTATTTTTGTAAAAAAAAATCATTTTCTTTATTTTACAATAAATCATAGCGTGTAAACGGCTCATGTGATCGAAAGGACGTCTGAGATAAAGTTTTGTAAACTAGAACGCCTTAAAAAAAACACTGAACTTTCGTTCTTAATTTTTTTTGTCAAATACTGTTGAAAACTTTAATAACAATAAAGACAGGGTGTTGACTCAAAGTCGAAAAAAAAAATCCCTGGCTTTCCCTGACTTTCCAGTCAGTTTTTAGAAAAATTCCAGTCCTCAAAACTTCGTTATTTTAACTTAAGAGGCTACAGTAGTGCAAATTAAGGTTAGTTTAAAATGAGCAGCAGGGTAAGCTTTCGAAAATATCAAGAATAGCATACTCATAGCACGCACAACAGAACTTGATACTAATACAATTTTTACAGAACATATGACCGACTACCTACAAAGGATGTGAATAGGCCTAGGGCTATAAATACATATTATTTTTTTTTATTATAGATACTTTAACGCTCTTGGGTCATTCGTGACTTGTCTGGGGGTGAGATTTGAACTCGTGACTTTGACGTGAGAGGTATGGATGCTTACAACTACGCCGGGGTCGCCCCCAAACACATATTATAATATAATAATGAATAACTACTGCTCACAACTAGGCTCACTATTCATTACTAAGCAATAATAGGAATATTTCATCAATGTCACCAAGCTCTCAGTTTGTGTTCATAATTTCACAGCCAAATAAAAATCAACCCGTAGACAATCCTTTCTCTTAACATTTAAATTATTGTAAAATAACAGAGCTGTGATTATTCTTGCTTTGGCAACCGAACCTGAGGATGCACTGCTCATGCTTAAGTCAGTAAGTTTTTCGTACTTTCTGGATCTCTATATGACAACCGTAGACATGGCAAAATAATTTAAGTTTTATTATCATTAACATTTTATTCTTTCAGTGAGTTCACATAACATCGCAAAATTACAAGTTGAATATGTGTTTATGTTTGGATTACTTTTAAAAATGTTTATCATTTGAGCAGAACAATTTTCTCCTGCAAAATCTTAGTTTCTTTTTGAACATCTTTCAATAACTTTCTTTGCATATTCTCGTGATGTTTCGCTTCTGCTTCTCTCTGGTGTTTCAACAATTGCGCTTTGTCGGAATCAAGAGCTTCTTTCATACGGCGATCGTTGTCAACATGGAATTTCGAACTCGCTGAATAAGTTCATTCAAAATTTGTAAGTTTTCCAACCCGCCTGCATGAGTAACACCATCATAAGCCCAAACGCAATGTTGGCTGAAGCGGAAAGGAAACAACAAGTTTGACAATTGTCACAAATGACATCAAGATACCTAACCACAGTCGATTTGATTCTAACTAGTTTTCAATCCGACTAGTAGGCTTACTCAGATCGGGCTTTTCCGCTACCACTGCCGTTCCGCTGTCATTGCGCTTGGGCCGTGATTGTTCCCTCGCCGACCAATAACCTGTGCCAAAAAAACGTTCAGTCGTTCCTTTTTGCGATCATATTTATGGA